GAGTAATTGAATGTATGCGGATAAAATATTGTTGGCCACGTGAGACGTGAGTTATAGCGCTTGTTATAGAGCGACTGTTGAAATTAAGTGTATCGTAAAGTTATATTCAGAAAGAATAAACCAGTTTTATTTAAGAAAGGACTTGTGTCGGTAAAGTTTCGTCGGAACGAAGTTACGGAAAATTAACTAACGAACGGAGACGTAACAATATATAAGATAGATATAAAGATAAATCGTTCAAAAATGGTGTTCTTGTATTATGTAGTTGGTCATGAATGAAACAAAAACCCATTAAGCAGAATATGGAATTGTTGCATAAAGTAAAAAAAAAGAGTAAAAACATGGAATTGCTATAAAGAAATACATCTCTGTACACAACATGTTTTGTATAAATACCTTGTCTTTGTGGATAATCGCCGTCTTTGACTAAGATCTTTAGCTCTTACCTTATCACAAACAGTTCCATTGGCAAATCATTACTTTTTACCAGATAACCTTATCATTATCAGACGCGTATTTGACCTAAATATCCTTTTAAATACACCTTTGATATCTTAATCTAATCGACATTTTATGGTCTAGTGTAATGGACTTTTTCTTATGGTACATATTGAGTGGAGAGAGATACTTGGTGCTATACGTATGATATAACGATCTATGTGGGTTACTAAATCATTTTTACAGAATTTTTTATCAAAATATTTCAACCTGCAATCTAGTAGGGTGTCGTGAATTGGTTGTATGTTTGCGTATTTGTGTATGAATTTTGTATTTGTTGTTCTGGGTACCCTAAATGCTGTGATGATTACTGAGTTCTGTATTCTTTGTAATTTGTTAATCTGTGACGGTGCAATGTTGATCCATGCCGGGCAGCCATATTCAGTTACAGGACTTATATACTGTTTATAGATGTTAAAGATATCTTCTGGTGGTGTTACAATATTCTTAGTGATATCTTCTGGTGGTGTTACAATATTCTTAATGATATCTTCTGGTGGTGTTATAATATTCTTAACGATATCTTCTAGTGGTGTTACAATATTCTTAATGATATCTTCTGGTGGTGTTACAATATTCTTAATGATATCTTCTGGTGGTGTTATAATATTCTTAATGATATCTTCTGGTGGTGTTATAATATTCTTAATGATATCTTCTGGTGGTGTTATAATATTCTTAATGATATCTTCTGGTGGTGTTACAATATTCTTAATGATATCTTCTGGTGGTGTTACAATATTCTTAATGACATCTTCTGGTGGTGTTATAATATTCTTAATGATATCTTCTGGTGGTGTTACAATATTCTTAATGATATCTTCTGGTGGTGTTACAATATTCTTAATGATATCTTCTGGTGGTGGTACAATATTCTTAATGATATCTTCTGGTGGTGTTACAATATTCTTAATGACATCTTCTGGTGGTGTTACAATATTCTTAATGACATCTTCTGGTGGTGTTATAATATTCTTACCCGACAGTCTTCTAATGTAGTTTGCTCGTTGCCATACTTTATTTGTCATTCGAGTGATGTGATTTTTCCACGTTAATTCGGAATCGTATGTTAATCCAAGAAATGTTGCTGATGTGGCGCTATGCAGACAAGTTCCATGTAAGTATAATTCTGGTGTCTACGTGTCTTTATCGACTTCGAGAATAATACCAGATTGGCTTTTGGCACATTTATTTTAATTCTATGTTGTTTTTTTTCGTAATATTCAACAATTTGATTTAGAACTGGTTGTACATTTGTGGCTGCTATTGAGGGGTGGCAGTAACTATTAAGGCTAATTGCTGTAGATTATATACAGCGGGTAAACTTGTGCTTCATGTAAGAGGATTCTGAAAATTTTCCGCCATTAGAACTGGAGTTTGATTTATTCTTTTTATCGTTATTCAACTTTTCATCCTGTTCCTATAATTTTGACAACTTTTCAAAAGATCATAAAGTTTTAATTAGGGGTAACAATAATATAAGTCTCTGGAGTGATTACAAATATATCTCAAAATGTAATCAGCTTAATATAACATTATACACATTATACTGTTCATGTAATACAAGTAAAGAAAAAACTTTTCAAAAAGAAAGTAAATGTATGGATGGCTAATATCACTCCTTCAAAAACAAATTTCTGCGAGAAATCTAGCTTTAAGGGGTAATGATAACATCGTTTACACTAGAATTATGATTTTATAAAACCACTACTAGTTAATAATATTTATAAAAGTGGATACTCCGTTTGAAACTATGTCACCTCAGTGAAATTGGTTGACACCATTGTTTTGGTTTTTGAGTTATCCTGTAATAAAAAAGAAGCAGAAGAAAGAAGAACAAGAAATTCTGTAAATATCATAGCAAAAAGTTTGATATTCCCAGAATTTGTTACTCAGTCATTACATAGATATTATTTTAAAAGGAACACTGTATAGTACTGTAAAGTTCTGATGACCTATCGAGGAGATACCATTTTGATGTACAATTCAAGCCATCCCTGATAATAATGTTTATTTTTCAACATGAAAAATGGTATACAATGTATGAATCTCATAGAGGTTACCCAAATTAATCAAATGTACTTACATTTTATTACTGCTGTTGTGTTTCTATAATCAAAAGTTTTGTTATGTGCACTTACTGATGAGGTCAAGTCCATTTTGTAATTGCCAGTTACCTGTTATTTCAATAGCACTTTGGCAATTAACTTAAGATACATGTAAATAGGGTTGGATATATTACATATATACACAAATCACACCTAGGAGAAGAGGGTGAACAAAACTTGTGACTTTTATAAGATAATTTGTAAATTACTGATATACTTCAATTTTCAAATAGAAACTAATATTTATAACAGTGATAAATATATAGCTCTTTAAGTCAGCAAATTAGAAACTGCAATCTGAACATTATGAAAGACTTTACTATTAAAACTGATTACCAAAATCAGGATAAACTACAGCACACACTCACAGATGTATCACTACTTCTAGGCCAAAGTGCTCGTCATAGCTTTTTACAAAGTTACACTTAAAATTTAAAATACATTTTATACAAATAAACTTTGCATCAAAAAGTAGTTAATAAATCAATTTTGGATACAAGTTTTAATTTCTTAACTTCAAAAGGAAATATTTATATAAATTCTCCACTTGTATGACATTTGTTCACTCCATATCACCTTTCTGTGATACCCTGAATTTAACATAAATTACTCATTATAGTATGGATCTTACTAAGGCAGAGTATAGTCTCTGTAGCCCTCAATCTTCTTTGTTTACAAACATATAAACCAAATAAGCCAGACCCACTTGCCACACCTACCTGTCACATCCTCTTTTACACAAATTGCCAATAATTTTCTCTAGCATTTGCTCTTACATTAGAATAAAATGACAAAGTTTTAATTTACTAAATGATGTATAATGCTATCATGTTCTCAGTAGAGATTTTCAGTTATTTCACATACAGATTGAAAGTTTCTATTGCCGAGTTCAAATCACATGGCTAAGGAATTATTTTAAGACTTGTGCCTTAATTAGAAAGCCAGTTAAATTACGATAGTTATAGAAGTTAACATTTTCTTAAATCAAAAATGTATTTCCAATAATACTTACCTCCCCTTCACACTACAGCTATTTCTTGACTGCCAGGGTTTCTTCCTTTGCTCATCTAAGCATTGGTCTGATTTCTTCTCACTTGCTCCAGTCTTTTATACCCCACTTAATTGTTTTTCACCTACGTCAATGCACTCTCTATCCTGGTACTGTATATAAGCACCTGAT